TGTGTACAAAAGTTGAACAGAAAGGATAAAAAGATTCATTGAATATCTACCCATTTTTGAGTGCTTTTCTGTGCCATAAGCAGACTTTCTTAGGTCATTTGCAGGTCCTTTGCATTTTCCTGTCAGTGTTCATTTAATCACAGAACTCTGATGGAAATAGCAATAAGACCACAGGCTAAAAATGAGCAATTCAGCCTAAAGCACGATAAATAAAATAACGTAACAGACTTCGTCTCAATAAAAGATAATGTTACAAATGCTGCTAAAGGGAAGCATTTAATTCTTCAGAACTTGCATAATTTTGCCGATTTAAAATTAAATTGCTTCAACATTCCAAAGTCTTGCTATATTAAGAAAAGCCTCTTAGGATTATTTTTCCGAACAATATTTTTCACTGCAGAAAAAAATCAATTTAGCAGCTGCTCATCCATGATTACTGACAAATGAACTAACAGCAATTGATTGGTTAAAATATGTGTGCATGCATGCATGTGTGTAATTTCATACATATGTGAGTTTCTTCAATGAAATTCAAGAAAATAACAATTTTAAATATCTGATGTCAGATAAATATACTTGCATTTCATTTTTCCCCTATGCCTGTCTATAAAAGCAAAAGGTTTTTGAATGTTGCAAAAGCGGTGAAACATGGATAATTCAAATGAATCTGGACAATAATCTCTTTTGAAGATGAAGGTGCAAGTTCTAGTCTGGGGCAAGTTTGTAGATGTAGAATGCATGGATGCTCGTGTTGAATCTTGCCTTGACCTCTGTCTCCTGTATTTCTTATATGAACATATTTTTACTTTCCTGACTGTCAAGTAAGTACATGCAGGCTAGGCAGACGGAATCATTTTTCCATCGTTTTATTACTTTCTTTTTGAAAGAGTTTATATAATAGAGATTGCTAGTTGGTCACCACTGCTTTCCGTATGGGCTTTTTTACAAGGATATTTTCTGTATTCTCCATTCTGTTCAATATGAGCAAGAAGCCATTAGGAGCATTAGCAAGGAAATAGATTGTGTTATTTATCCTGTATGTGTTTGACACTTGTCATTCTACTTTGGTCTCACCTGACAGTGCCCAGTGTGGTCGAGTGATTTGCCCGCATTTAGACAGACAATCTAACTGACTAGTTGAGACTGAATTTAGAAAGGACAGAAGTAAAAATAATTCCATAAAAGTTATGCAGGTGCTATTTGTCATATTTAATGGTATATGTATCCCCATCTCAGGCTAAAAGCTTTAAGAGGGACCTTGTTGCACTTCCAGTGGCTGCTGCTATTTGCAGCTGGCAACATCTGTCAGGATTTCTGTAATAAGGTAAGAGCCTTTTTTTCTTCTGGATGAATGCATTTCCACAATAACCCAGACTTTCATGGAAATGTTTTTTTTATTATTATTTATGTCTGTAATGCACATTATGCAGTACTAGGCTTTAAAATTTTACTCTCCACATGCACTTATGCCTATAAATCATCTGGAAACATACAGCAAGTGCTGAGTATGGTTTCCAGTTGTAAACACTTCAGTGTAATTGCTTTAAACCGTGTATCTGCTTTAATAGACTTAAGGATTAAGATACTTTAAGAGTATAACTATATATATTTAGCCTCATTATATATATAGTTACACTGTTAATGTACCCTTTTTTAAAATAAGAGTTGGCTCTATTCAACAGCCTGATCAATCCACTGAGTTTGCTTGTTTTGAATCAGGGCCTTGTTACTTGGTCATTTTGGGTGGCTTCTGGAACTCTTAACCCCTGGATTGTCTACACATTAACACCTGAAATTGGTTTTAAGCATTGGTTTTAAGAACTCATTATGTGGCTTAAAGTTATGCCATCCCAGGGCAGGATTATCTCTGATCCACATTACCTAGATCCTGTTCCAATAAGGTGTGACCACTTCTTCCAGCTGTGCCACCCAAGTTGAAGTCCTCTAGTAGCTGGGATCTCTTGCACTTCCACCTGTAGATCAGGGATAGAAGCCTGTCCTGGCTCACCAGCTCTCTAGTGGCAACTCACAGCTATACCTCCTAGTCCTGCCCATAGACGCCTGGTGAGCAGGGGCAGGACTAGGAGCTGTAGCTGTGAATTGCAAGTCACAGCTGTATAGGTGGGAGACAGTCAGAGAAGGTTTCTAGACTAAGGGTGTGACTGTGCCAAACTCCAAGCTAGCACTGACACCGATCAACATTTGTGCAGCTCACAGTGTAAGGTGCAACAAGGCCTTCAGAGTTGTAGTTTGATATTAGAATCAGTGGCTGAGATGGACCTCTTGTGTAGGACCATGGCTGTGTGTGTGTGTGTGTGTGTGTGTATCTATATATAGTTATGTGTATATATCAATTATATATTATGTAGTATTATATCCTGTAATTGTATATATGGCAACAATGTGGAAGTAGCTAACTCCCAAGTCTTTAGACCAGATGTATAATTTAAACCAATTATACTGAAATGTTTACAATTAGGCACCCCTACGCAGCAAAAACTTTATGTATATATGTATATGTTTCCATGTATACTATATATATTATCAAGGGTATGATTAAGAAAGTATATTTTCCAGACACACAGGCACATCCCATTATATTTTAGGCTTAAATAAACTAATGTAAATCTCGATGAGCCCTACTGGATGACAATTTCTGTTCTTTAACTCCTATACAAGAGATCCAACTCAGCCAATGATTCTGTAATTTCAAATTACAACATGCAAATGCAAATTCATTACATGCAAATTCAGAAAAAAAATCTGTCTGTTTCATTGAGCCACCTCCTAGTGAAAACACACACACACGCGCGCGCGCGCACACACACACACATTCTCTCTCTCTCTTTCTCTCTCTCTCTCTCTCTCTCACTCACTCTGACATCTGAACCAATGACTTATAAATATGGATCCAGGTTTTCTCTGATAAAAAAAAAAAATCACAAATTCTCTTTCAAAAAAATTGTGAATTCTCTGATAACCCCCCCCCCAATCTATTATTAAAATTAAAAGCCCCCTGCAGCTCCCCCCAGCCCTGCTGGTGCCCCTCACTCACCCCCAAAGTGATCCCAATCTTGCTGGTGCCCCTCACTGCCCCCAAAACAGCCCCTGGCCCTACTCGTCCTTCTTGCCCCAACCCACAGCCTCTGCCCCCCAGCCCTGCTGGAGGGGGCCCCCAACTGCCAGGGCTATGGGGCCAGGGACCCAAGTCTGCAGCTCCCTGCCCCCAATAGCAGGCAACTGCAGCAGAAGTAGCATGGAGCCAGCTCCCCCACTGCTCTGCCTGCTCCGGTGGGGGCAGGGCTGGTTCCTGGCTCTCCCCTAGCCCTGTCAGTGCCCCCAGTCATGATCCCCCCCAGTCCTGCTAGAGGGGACCCCAGCCTCCTGCAAGCCCCACTTACCTCAGGCTCCAGGAGGGAAGAGTGAAGCTGAGCTGAGCGGAGCTGTGACTGACTGAGAGCCTCAGGCCCTGCCCTTCCCCCCTCCCCCTCCCCTTCCAGGCAGGGCTGGGGGTTTCCTGCCCTGTTTGCAAACAGCTCTTGCAGGCTGGAGCTCAACCAGCCTGCAGAGCTGTTTGCAAAGCAGGGAATCCATGAGTTTCTCTGCTAAAAGGAAAAATATGCATTTTCTCTGATAAAAAGGGGAAATCTGTGGTTTTCTGTTTTTCTGTGGGAAACAGAAAACCAGGATCCCTGCTTATAAAGCTGATAATGTGTGGAGACTTCAACATAAATAAGCTGCCTTCAGTCACTGATTCCTTGGGGTGTAGCTATTTATAAGTTTCATGCAAGGTGCAAAGCTTGATTTCCCCTCTGTTTTACACTTATTTAGTACTAGCCAATTGCCCATGAAGAGTGATGGGGGGGGAGAGCGGGCGGGGATGGAGCCCCGTCCCACCCCCCCATCCAGGCTCACTCCCCCCTTCCTTCCTGCTGCTTGAGGTCCAGGCCTGCTTCGCCCCTTCCCACTGCAGTGATGGGGGGGAGTGGAGGAACGGGCTAAGGCCCAATGTGGGTGGAGGACCAGGCTCAAAGGTGGTGGGGGGGAAGAAGCTGGCCTGGCACAGTGTGTGTGTGGGGGGGAGACAGGATGACCAGGCAGCGGCAGGGGGATGGGAGGAGCAGGCTTGGGGCTGATGTGGGGGAGGGGAGTGGGTAAGGAGTGGGCCTGGGCCCAAGGGGGGCAGGAGGCTCACTCCTCCCCTTCCCCAGCTGCTGCCATATCAGGCCGGGCCCACTACTCCTCCCCCACCACCATGGCAGGCCTCCTCCCACCAATCGGGCTCACTTCTTCTTCCCCCACCCTGCATTGGGCCCAGGCCTGGACCCACCCCTCCAATCCCCTCTCCTCCCCCCACTGCTGCTGCCATGGCACATCTGCTCCTCCCCCCGCTTGCATCAGGCCTGCTCCTTCCTCCACCACTGCTACATTGGCCCTGTAGGTGGTGACCACAGAAGCGGGTAGGGGAGGGTCATGGACAGTGCCAGTGGCCTCACCCCCCTTTTGGCTTCCCAACCTCACTGCCCCTTGTGCTGCCACCGCCGTTGTCACCATGAACTCCAAGGAGCAAGGGTGGGGGTGAGGCCTGCTCCGGTGACCTCGCCCTCACCCTCCCCCTTCCCCTCCAATCGTCACAACCTGCAGGGAGCAGGACGGGGGGGGGCGAGGCCAGCACTTTTGGCCTCGCTTTCCCCCCACCCTGTTCTGTCTGCTCCATTGCTACCACCTCCAGGGAGCTATGCTGGCCTCGCCTCCCCCCTCCCCCTGGCTCCATCCCCTGTGTCCTTGCCATCATGGTGGCATGCTGCCACCTATCCATGTCCTTTTTTGCACTTTGATTGGCTCTTTGTCTGGCAGTTGGAGAACAAATACAGCATTATGGACAGACAGACAGATTAAGGCTTTTATAATATTAGAATAGTGGGAACTTTGATACACAGCTTGGGAAGTTTTATATGAATTTATCCTTTTGAAAGAGAAGGACAGCTGCCCTGGCAACTATGGCAAAGGACTGTAGAGAAGGAGTATCGTCTTGTAGTGAAAACACTGAAGTGCTCAAGAGAGCTAAGTTTAACAGTGGCTTCACCAAAGATTACATGGAATTACCAGATTGTGAAAACACTAAGGAAGGCTGGTCCAGGTAGTTGTTTTGGCCCTTTCTGAATCAGACTTCTAATTTATCTTCCATATTAATTACTTAAATATGATATAACATTCTTAGGGCTAGATGTCTATAGGGGCCAGGAATACATTCCCACCCCCCATGCATAATTTTGTTTCATTATTTTTTCTTTTTCTCCTTTCTTTTTGAAGATTTAGAGAATGACCATAACTAGAAATGGGCAGTTTTATGGGATGAACTGGTTTTCCTTACATTGCTGATCTAGGTGCGTGGTATGTGTCTCATCTCCTCTGACTAGTGTTTCCTACTCAGGGCCTTGTTGCACATTGCATTTTGAGCTGCTCAGGTGTTGACTGGTGTTAGTACTGGCTCAAGTTTGGAGCAATCGCTCCTTGTGGCTAAAAACCTTTCGACTCTCCCCCACCTGCACAATTCTGACTTGCCACTAAAGGGCTGATGAGCAGAGGCCTAACTAAGAGGTGTAGCTGTGAATTACCACCACAGGGCCAGTGAGCCAGGACAGGCTTCTGTCCCTGCTCTAGGAAAGGGCATGTGAAAGATGGATTGAGGGGTGGGAACTTGAAGGTGGGAGGTAGAGAGTTAATGAAAGTGGGGTGGGTAATGACCAGGAATCTTGATTTTCCCTGATAAAAAAATTTGCAGATTCTTTAATCCCCTCCTCCCCAAATCTGTGATTAAAATTAAAGGCCTCCCACATGCCCTCAGCCCTGCTGGTGCCCCTCACTCACCACCCACAGTCCCCACAGCCCTACCAGTGCCCCTCATCCCCCATCCACAGCTCCCTGTTACCACAAGACCTGCCGGAGGGGGCCACCCAGGGACCTGGGTCCACAGCCCCCTGCCCCTAGCAGGAGGTGGTGGTTGCTGCAATGGAGTGAAGCCCGGCTCCCCCCTGTTGCCTGCTGTGGGCTCATGCTAGGGGTGCTGCTTCCCACTGCTGCACACGCTCCCAGAGGGCAGCGGGACCCATGCCCTCCAAATCTGTGTGTGGGGCAGTTGCAGGCTTGGGCTCCCTCCCTGTTGCCCTTCTCTGGGGCCTCTGAAGCCCAGCGGGTGCAACACGGTGCTGCAGGGCACAGTGTGGCCACACAGAAAAGCTGCTTGCTGCTGCAAACTCTGTGCTGCCCTGGCAATGCATCCCCTGTGTGAGCAGAGGCAGCCCCTATGATGGCTTCAATCGCCCCATCCCCAGTTTACCTTCAGGAGCTGCTCTCCAGGCTGCCTGGCGACCATGTGCAGATACATGGACATGGTGCACCCTGTCTGATTGTCCTCCTCCTGCTCCCTCCCAGTCCTTGCAGGCTGGAACTCTGCCAGAGGGCTCATTGCAAGACTACAAATTCCTTTGGTTTTCCTGGGTTTCTCTATTAAAATGAGAAATCTGCATTTTACTCCGATAAGGGGGGGGATCTGTGTTTTACTTCATTTTTCCATGGGAAACGGAAAACCCGGATTTCTTGTAATGACATGCGAGGTGGAAAGGAAACAGAGATGGGGGAAGGGTGGTGAAATGAAGGAAGTCAGTTGCTGAGGGATAAAATAAAAAGTAGAAAAAAACAAAAACAAGAGGAAGTAAAGAAAGCCTCATGTTTTAATAAATGGGAATTTGGAATTGAGGTGTGGGGTTTCTGGCCATGCTTGCTGGGGTTTTTGGGAGGTGGGAGCAATGAGGGAAGGCACTTTTGGGGAAGCTGCTGCCCCTGTCTTGGGAAGGGATCCCCAGCTCATGGGGACCCGATCCATCCTCCTACTTGGTTCTGCCTCACTTTGTGCCCTGTGACCTGGCTAGGTGGCATGTCCCCTGCAGGCTGTTTGCATGGGGTTCCACCCCTGGGCGTGGGATGGTTGCACCCCTGGGGAGGGAGGGGGAGTTGGCTTGGTGCCAGAACTGCCCCCTGGGTAGCAGAATTCAGGGGTTGGAAAGTTTGTCCACACAGAACAGGAGGGTGGGGGAGGGTCATTTGCATGCTGGGATGCTTGAGGACTGCAACTTGGGTAACTCATCTGTGTGGAATGGCCACACATTAATGGAACACAAGCTGGGTAACATGGATCAAAGAGAACCTTGCTCTGGAGTGGCAAAATTTAAGCTGTCTAAAGTGTACTTAAAACTAGTTTCAGTTGTTAATATGTGGATGATCTAGGGCAGTGGTTCCCAACCTTTTTTTGCTGCAACCCTAAATTGGCCACCAACAGGACCTTCCGACCCGGCACCGTGAGGCTACTGGGAGTGGAGTGTGGTGGTGCCACTGGTGGAGGCAGGGGAGCCACCATTTCTCACTTTGTGTGCGGTGGCCCCGCCCTGCCCCGCCCACCCACCGCTCCCAGGCCATATGCATGAGTGTGCATGTGTATGTGTGTACAGGCCCTTTGCAACCCTACTGAGGACCTCCTGTGACCCTGATTTTGATCGTGCCCCAAGGTTGGGAACCAATGATCTAGGGGTCAAGAGCTCCAGTAACTGACTTAAATTAATGTGTAACAAGGTACTAAGTGTATTTATTTAACACATACCCTACTATTGCATGTGCCGAAGATCTTTAGTTGCGCTTGTCCATCATGATTTATTTTTGTGGCATGTTGTTCTTAAGGCCCTTTATGGTACTACAGATCCCCAGTATGCTATAATATGTTAAATAGTACCTCTAGATTTTAGTATGGAAGAACTGGAAAGGATGGTCTTGTAGACCCTTTTGACCTTAACATCTAGACACAGTTTTGTGTGATTGAAAGGGACTGGGCTCAGTGACCCAGGTGATCCCCTCTAGTCCAGGTTCCTACAAACTTTTGAGAACTAAGGCATACAGACTTAAATAATTTGTCTCAATTTCCATCTGTAAAATGGGGATGGTAACACTTATTTCACAGGATAGTTGTGAGGTTAACGTTGTAAGTATATGAGAATCATTCTCATTCATTGTATGTTATAGGATGATGGAATGTTTGGGGTGGCTGTATCTAAGTACCCTGGTAGTTGGGTTTAACATTTCACCTTCTGTATGTCCATGTCCTCTGAAGACCAGGGTCACCTTTCTGTAGAAGCCACTTACCTCTGCATTATTGTCTATCCATTTCTTTTAGTTCTTGATCCCTGAACCCATACAAACCTTCTTGATTTCAATGGGAATACTTTTATGCATAGAAGTTTGTATTATTTGAGCTTTATTTCTTTTATGCTTACACTGATTGAAAGAGACAAGGCATTTTGGAGGATATTTTGATCTGATTTCATTTGTGCTTTCTGTGGATATATAGAGCATTGTAACATCAGTGTCATTTCACATTTTTATGTGGTGCTTCTGTTTTTAATGACTAATAATATAATGCCTTTAGTTGCGACCATACAGTCAGTTAATAAATATCAAAAATTACTTTTATGGCAGAGTACAATCATAACTTTGGTTAGTGATAATAAATTGCATGTCGGTTTGACCAGGTTTTCTATTAGTTAACTTATTTGAAGGCTTGTTAACAAAGCGAATGAGATTTCCTTGTTTTCATAGTTTTAGATTTCCTTGTTTTCACAGCTTCTTTGAAAGTTTCATAATTAAAGACAAAGAAATGAAATATTCTCAGTTAATGAGAGACCACTTATAAAAAATGTATTTTTTGCCAGATAAATGTCTTAGCTGTTTTTCAGATAAATGATTTAGCCACTTTTCAGATTAAAGTTCTTGTAAAACTCTGCATTAGGCAGAATTGTAAATAGGGATTTGTAGGAAATTATATATCACTGGGAACTGTCTGTAACCTACTCATTTTTAATGTCTGTCCTCTGTTTCTTGTCTAATGAAAAATGTTATGGTGCTAGAGGAATGCTGTTGATTTTACATATGGCTTATTTAAGTCCAAATATCCCACCAGCATTAATTTATCTATTTCTTAAAGTATTTATATGTCAGTAGAAGAATATTTTAATGAATGACTGTTCAATTTAGTTATGAAATGTGTTTACCTGATTTCAATATGTTTATACATAAGTTTACATTTTAACTTCTTTATCAGTGGTACTACAATTTTACAAGTGAAAGGGGAAAGCTGCTTACTTGTGTTTTCTGTGATTTTTTTAAAAGTTGTTCTTCATGGGGCTTTAACTCAAATAAAAGTATATTTTCCACTTCCACAAAGGTAGTAAAAATGCAATCATTTACTTTTCTTTTTGCTAAGGTTTTACTCTCTAATTTTTAAAATATGGAAATCATTAAACTCTAAGGGACAACAGGATATCCAAAGCCTATTGAAGTCTAGGGATTATGGCATAGTTTCAACAGCTAGGTTTGTTTTCCATTTAAAGGATGTTTTTGTGTGTGTGGCTGCTGATGAAAAATTAGTGTGACATCTCTTTTACCTAGACTTTTTATATATGGTTTCAGTAAAATGGTGTTCCCTTTGCAATAGTAAAAACACCATATTAAGCCCAAAGGCTAATTCATAGCTTGACAAAGCCAGCCTTTTTCCATATGTATATGTATGTGTCTTCACTCTATGCCATATGATGATAAACTTAAAATTAATCCTTCAATACATGCATATACTTGGATGCATACAGGTGCTAAATTACTTTTCTAACTCCACATGAGTTTTCATCAGTTTCTACACAAAGACCCCGTTAAATCACCTGATCTGAAATTTGTAGAGAAGACATTTCCTCCTGTCAGATTGGAAAGGACCCAACAATTCTTTAGTGTTATTTGCTCTGGCATGGAGCTTGATTTACTTCCTAGGATCATCGAGGGCATATTTTGGTGAATAATTCCTGGCAAATGCTGTTGTATTGGTAATACCTTTGTCTCTCCTGTTCTCTTTCTGTTATGCAAGTTGCTTAATGTTAAAGATCTTTAAATTGATATGGAGTAGTTTTCTGGTTGTGGTATGATATGCATAGAGGGTCCTATTGACCCTTTTGGGCAAAAGTTTATTATATTGTTGCCTGAGATTGTTAGAAGACTGGATTTAGTGGCGCAGATGGTCTGTTCCAGCTCTACATTCCTATGGTC